CACAGCACTTTGTCTTCTGCAGGGCTCCCTTCTCCCCACACCCCAGCCATCCCAGTCCATTACGGGATGGATGCTAAGTCCATTACGTTGCCTGGGCTCACTGTGCCCTGGCTGGGAACTGGAGCAGGAGCCTGCATGTTCTGCTATTTTCAGGCTGTATCAGCATAGCCCTGGAGTGCCAGATAGCCCATTTTACAAGCCTCATATTTACCAAACATGTTTTGTAATTTTCAGTTCTCCAAGGAAAGTACTAAATACCCTAGAATAAAAACCAGATTTTTTTTAGACATTCCTGCTTAAGGAGAGATATTGAACTAGTATCAAGATCTGGAGGTTAGGTGCTCGAAAGCATCCACTCCTGTCCCCAGAAGAACACCCAGGAGAGGCTCATCCTCTCCCCTGCATCTCGCTACCCAGACCTTTCATGACCATTCATGGGGCAATGGGCCAGCAGTGGAGGAAGCATTGCTTCTCTGGTGGCCTAAAGAAGAGATGTCTTTAAACATGCCTCTAAACACAAGTGTATTGAGATACTAAATGTTATGCAGGAATTGAGAAGCAAATCAGTTGAACTGAGTGTGTTTAAAAGATCTTTGCTGTAAAACTGTAACCAGCACAAATGATTGGGATGACTCTGAGCATTCCCAGAAAGGAGTGCTTGTCTCTAGGGTGGCTGCAATTGCACACAGTGGTTCCAGGACAGCATCATTGGTCATTTTCCTTCTCAGTCATCTCAGGGAACGGTGCCAAACCCATGTATCTCAGGGCAGTGCAATAGGTTTGGCTCTGCTCCTTTTTGAACAGTGGTGGGATCAGATTGGCAATCTGCCAGGGTGAGCTACATCTATCATATCAAGAACAGATTTCCCCATGGGCAGGTGTCTCCACAATGCCCCACTCCCTAGGAACTGTGATAAACTTTCTATAATTTTATTTAGATTCAATATTGCAAAAAGTGTGCTGGTTTCCTAGCTGTTCTGAACAAGAACAAACCAGAGCAGCTGGCTACATATGGAAATATTGAAATAGTCATATAACCATATAAAGGGCATAACTTGCACCATCCAGGCAGTAATTCCTGGAAGTTTGTGCTGCCCCTCTCGGTCATGCTGATTTCATGCAGGGCAGAGAAGGAGAGACAGCCCTGCCTGGGGCTTGTTCCCACACAGACATCTGGGTTCTTACTGCCCACAAACCCAGATTGGAGGCAGGAGTAGTCCCAGTTTACACCATGTGAGTGTGTCACAGGAGTGTGATGGGAGCTGAGAGGAATGGGGATTCCTCCCTCCATGCTCACCCTACTTGTTATCTCCTGAGATAGCCCTGAGACCTGGTTTTTACAGGGATTTCTGATTACAGTCACTTTGCATTTGTACAAGGTTTTCGCACTTCTCCTGTGTCAAACACCACCGGCAGCAGGTGACACTGCTAATGACTCCTGCCAATGAGTATATGGCAGCTCACCTAAATGAGTGAATTGGGGCTTACAGCTCCAAGAGGGAGCTGTACACATAAAGAATTTTATTTTCCTCTTTTACTCTGCAAGTAAAGGAGTCAAATGCGATTCATGACTTTCTAGTGGAAGAGTTATGATCTCTTTCTTCTTTTTCCAATCTCTTCCCATTTCAGCTAGCCAGTGCCTTTGTCTCCTGCTTTTCACTTGCCTGCTGGCCCTGGCAACATCTCTTCTTGCGTTGGAGATACAAAACTTGCATCTCCTCAATGGCACGACAGATGAAATTATCAATGTTCCCCCAGAGTCCTCCCAGCTAGGTAAGTATACCACTACAACAGGGAGAGGCAAACAAAGTCATGTTCAGTCAGATCCTACGGAGACGTCTTCAGCAGCCTAACCACATCCCTGTAACACAGAGGAAGGACTAAATACTTCTCTATGTGTGAACAATGCCAATGCAATGTAGGCTGTCTTGCTGGAACAAGAATCATTTCCTCTCAGAGTCCTCCTCTGCTTGCTGCCTGTCTCTTCTGTCTGGCATGAAGCTCTTCTGTCCATAAGTGAGTTCAACAGTCCAAAGCCCAGAGTTCATAGGATCCCAGGAGAAGGGACAGGTTCAGTCTCGTTGGCAGCAAGACCAAACCAAGGGTGTTGTGGGCCATGGGCTCTTCCTTGGAGAAACAGTGTTAAAGATATTAAGGTAGACAATCTCTCAAAACAATGTTTTAAGGCCATGGAGAACAGTGGCCACCTCTGGAAATCAAAAGGTCAGTGGAGAACTGAATTCAAGAGAGAGGTGAATACAAAGAGGAACTAAATGAAGTTAATACAAAGAGTCTAAGCAGTGGTACTGACACAGAGCAATCAGATGATGGCACAGAGTAACCTACAAATACCAGGGTATATTGGAGCAATGAGAAAGCCTCCAAGAAATGCTCCTGGAATAAAACTGGGGACTGTGGGTAGGACATGACATGACAGAAAGAGCTGCTTCCCTTCTAAGGGAGGAGGAAGAGTTCTTGGCAGAAGAGCTCAAGGTCCAAGTGTCTGATGCTGGTTTCACATCAGCCTTCATTGCAGAGGTCAGCTGTCAGGAAACTACCGACACAGGGAGCACCCGTGACTGAGACAAGAGCTTGGGCTTCATCAAGAACTGCAAGTCTGAGTTGAGAAAGGGGGTGTGCTCTGGGCTTCACACTCATCTCTCACCCAGACCATTGGTAGGGTGCTCTGAAAACATGAGCAGCACGAATGCAAGATGGGTAAGCAGGGAGGCATGCCAGAGAAGACAGGCTAAATTTCAGAAGTCTTGACTTGTGGAGGAATGCTTCCAAACGGATGGCAAGTGAAGGCAGAAAGAAGCAGGGGCAGACTGTGGCTTACAAAAGGAGCATGAGTGAACAGCTTCACATGGCTGTAGTAAAAGTAAATACCAGGGTAGGAAAGTCCTCTAGACCACATTACATGAGTGTTTCCCACTCCACACAGGCTCAGGCCAACCACCACATTTACTGGTGGGCTTCAAGATGCATTTGGAGAGAGTCAAAAGGAAAGGGGTCAAAAATCTGGCAGGCAGGCTGCATCAGGGAAAGCTGAAGAACTGAATGGTTTAGCCCCAAAATCAGAAGACCGTGGAGGAGGAAGTGATAGCAATATTACAGTCTGTCTGCAAGAAAAAGCGTACTCTGTGTGTAGTAAGAGAAGGAATGGGCTTATACACAGTGCGAGAGGCCTGTTAAACACTTCATAAGGGATGGGATAGGAAAGCACCAGCTGAGAGTGAAAGCAGGGAGCAGATATTTGAGGATGACAGAGAGCAGCTGCTGCAGGGTTAGGCATCTGTTTCAGAGAGGGGACAGGAATGGCTTTTGTGATTCCATAAGCCTGTGATTAATTCTCTGTTTTATAGCCACCAGTGGATATGCAGAAGATGTCCTTGCAAAAGAACTGCATTAATTCACTCTTCCAGCAATGCCCTTAAAAATTCCCTTCTGACCCAGCTGAGCAGAGCCCCTCTCCCAACTCCCGATACCTGCAACAGTTTTCCTGTGTCTGTTCTCACATTTCTTTCCCCTCTTCTTCCTGAGTCCCTTCCTAACTGCTTCTACTGCACTTTAACAACAATCCTTCCAGTGTCGCCACCACCATTCGAGGTCTTTCCCCCACACAGTGTGTCCAAATCCCTCTCACCAATGAAGCATCTGCCTCATTTTAACACCATGTAAATTACCCAAAACTACCAACTGGCTGATATCTGAAATGGTAAAGTCCCTCTGGAATTAGGAGCAACAACAGAAAAACAGGAATATCATCTGGAGAAGATCATGCTCTCACAGCAGGCATTTGACATGTCTACTCTCAACACTCACTCCTGTCTCCTCTGTTCCTGTTAATTCAGGTAATGAAGGCAAACATGTTCGACAGGTCAGAGACATTCCCCACCACCCACCGGCGGGCCATGGTAAGTCTCTTTTCAAGGAGTACATCTGCTCATAAGGTTTCACCATTGCTAGGCTCATGAAGAGCTCTCAGCCACCGTAGCCCCTGTCCCCTGGCTCCTCCCAGGAAAAATGTTTTTCTGTTAGGCTTCAGAGGTGTCACAGCTCATAACCGCAAGGAGACTCTTACCAGTCATGTCCTGGACTCAGTAGTTGATGAGGATCTTTAGCATGGGGAATTTTCTACCTAGAGATCCAAACTGGAAAGTGATGCTTCATTATTTGCCTTTGGAAGTTGTTATTCGTTATTTTCCTATTTTCACTATACAGTTGATGAGAAGACTGGGTAAGACAGGGACTGACTGCATCACTGAACTGACTGAGTCAACAGTAGCCCATAGGACCACAAGATCGGTCCTATCTGTGTAGGAATAACCAGTAGCAGAGGTAGTGGGAATGGAGCAAGTCCCTTCCCAGAAGTGCGTAGGTGCATTCAGCTGTTTGTTGTATAAGGTGATGACACTCTGGAGCATGGAAAGGCCATAATCAAATCAAATAAGTCAGGAAGTCTCTAAAGAGCTGCTCAGGTAAGCCCAGAGAAAAGCAATGGATTTGCCCTATTGAGATCACAAGGGCTGATTTAATTGTTAGCCATGTGGATGTCTTGATCACACTCTCTCCAAGGTTTCTGAGATTACTATAAAGCTCTAAAGCTTCCATGCTGTAACAACAAATGGCTTTATAACCCAGATTTGCATCTGTCTGTGTGGTGATACATAACCTGCACACTACAGGCAAATCACTGCAGCACTGCATGACTGAATCCAACCTGGGCTAGGGTGCATTGTGTGCTGGGTGAAGGAAGGTCTCAGCAGGCCAAGACATTTTGGCAGCATGTTCCCATCAGTTTGAATCCTGTCTTGGGATGATAGGAAGTCCAACTCTTACATTGATCATTTCAAGATTTTGATTTACTCCTGTGAGCACATGACAGGAAGACAGCCCAAGAATGTGTGTGCAAAAGGATAGAGGCACAAAAGAAACACCGGGTGCTTTCAGTGTCTCATTGTGTGGGATTTAATAACCATCTCTGTTTCCTGTCCCAGGTTGGCCCAAGGACTGCAGCGAGATCCCTGCTGGCAGCCGCAGTGGTATCTACATCATCCAGCCAAAAGGGCTCCACCACCTTGTGGTGTACTGTGAAATGAATGTGACAAACGGGGGCTGGACGGTCATCCAGAGGAACCAGAAAGACACACCAGTCACCTGGGCTGAGTCCTGGAGCACCTACAAGTATGGCTTTGGGAACGTGCGCAGCGAGTACTGGCTGGGCACTGAGTACATCCATCAGATTGCCACGCAGAAGGTCTATCAGGTCAGGTTTATCATCCAGGACTCCACAGACAACATCAATTTCGCAGACTACAACCTCTTCAGTGTGGAAGATGAGTCCCACGGCTACCGTCTGAGGTTGGGCTCCTACGCAGGGACGGCAGGGGATGCCATGACCTCAGACAATCCCAATACCATGCATGACAACATGAAGTTCTCCACAAAGGATCAGGATCAGGACACTTACAGTAAGAACTGTGCCTACAGCTATGAGGGCGGATGGTGGTACTCAGCTTGTTATTCTGTACGGCTGAATTTCAAGGGTGGCATGACATGGGGCAGCCTGTGCAAAGGGAACTGCAAATCCTCCCTTATCCTCATCAAACCAGCTCCATATTGTTAGTGCTTCTTCCCCCTCCTGTCCACACTGGACACTCTGCGAAGGCTCTGCATGGCCAAAGAGCTTGAGCCTTTCTGGAGCAGAGGGAGGAGCCCAAGGGTAGTAGGGTTTTAGTGAAATGCCACTTTCCAGTTCTCTTCTCTGAGCGCAGGCTCCCCCTCTGCTCAGCTCTTTTCCCCTGTGCTTGCCAATGATTCCTTGTTATTATGTTCATAATCAAGAACGAAAAATTCACTTGTGAAATTTGTGGATTCCACATGTACCTTCCCTGTGGGAGGAAGACACTGAGCCCTGGAGTGACTTTTCATCAGAGTTTCTTAGCTGCCTCCAGAACTCACAGCAAGCAAAAAAACTACATGCCACAAATTTCCGTATACTCTGTGCCTCTCTGCAGTGTCTGGTAAAGCATCCCAATAAATTTGCTTCCTTGAGCTCATTCTTCATTAATGAATGTCTGTTCTGTAACTCTGATGTGCTCGCACTGAGATGCCAGAAATCCCATGTCAGGCGCTAGGACTGGAGTCTTGGGGCTTGTGGAGGGAAAAAGCCTTGAGTGGTTCTCACAGGAATGGATGTAAGAAAATTAAATCTAGTTACACTGAGATAAAGGACCTGTGATCTGCACAGGAGGGTTCAGAAGGGACCTGTCATGTGGGAGAACTCATCATCACCACGTTCACAGTCCAGTGTCAAAAACTGTGGCAATATCCTGGTGCCAAGGTCCTGCTTCTGCTGGGAGGCTGTGTCTGTCAGGATTTGTTCCTTGCTATCTGTCTGTCTGCACAGTCGTGCTTTGATCCTGAAGAAACATGATTTCAAAGTTGTCAGTAGATCTGTCTGCTGTGACTGAGAAGCAGTGAATTTAAATTGAAGCAAAAGAGAAGTAGGTTAGGTGTTAGGAAGCACTTGAATTAGGAGACACTAATGAGGGAAGAGCTCATTACAGGAATGAACTCACCATAGTCAAGTTTCTGAGATCAATTTAGATCAACCTTTGCCGGGAAAAGTGCAGAGAGAGCTGATGATGTGAGGCTGCAGGACAAGGCCCCTGCAGCTCCTCCATCCCACAACACTGGCACTGCCTGGACAGACTGTCTGAGAAGCACTTTCACCTTCACAAACCATTTCTGTCTTTGTCTTGGGGCAGCACAGCAACAGCAGTGAGTTCCATTTCCAGGACTGATGGCTAAGGGAAAACCCAGCCCTTGCTTGCCAGCGGCAGAGCCCAGTGCCATCCAGGAAGGTTTTAGAAATTAGAAAATACTGAAAGAAATGAGCAGTGGAGTAAGAAGAGCCAGAAAGTACCTTATACTGCTCCAGAGAACTGCCCTCAGCACTTCAGAGCATAGGGGCACCTGTACCTAGGGATGTCTGAGGAAAAAGATTGCTCAGGGCTACTTCTACTGAAAGCAGCTCTCAGGTGAAGCAAGCTGCACTTGCCCTCCTGAGAGCCTCCAGCACCAAGCACTGAGCCCCCCCAAACCAGAGCACAGAGGACTGGTGGGACCTCAGAGTAGAGCCCATGCCTGCCTTGCAATGGGCACCACAGCACAGGGAGGGGAGGCACAGGACAGCTCCGTGATGGACTTGACATTGGCTGGAAGAGAGGCTCTCCTGCACCAGGGGCACAAGATGGTAGTGGCAGGTGGAGGATGGCTGTCAGGATGGTGCCCCCCCCCCCCGGGGCCCCCAGAGTGGATTTAGCTTCCAAAGTCAGCAGGCTCAATGACATCAGGTGGCACTGGGCAGACTGTGAAATGACACTGCTGCTGCTCCTGGGCCTCTGGGGTTTCCAAGCAACAGGCAAAATTGGAGTTGCATTTGCACTGCTGGACTAAGGAACAAGTGATCCTTATCCCGGTAGTGCTGTCTTCTGCTAGGGCTCTCCAAAGGCAGTGGAGAGACACAGGCCAGCAGATGCAGGAGAGCATCCTAAAATATCCCCACAGTACAACAGAGCTGGCACCCACAGGCCCAGGAGGATGGGCTCAGCGAGTGGGTGTCTCTGCATTGCCATCTTGTCCCTCCACCACAGCACATCCCAGTGTACAGACAGGTTCTCATCCCTCCTACAACAGCACCAGCTCCACACAGCCCCTTATTCCAAGCTACCCATCCAAATGCTTCCTAAATCCTGCTGGGCTCTTGGCCACCCAACAGCACTGACCACCAGCCCCCAGCAGCTCCCTGGCAGCTTCCCTTCACTCAGCTCCAGCAGCCAGTGTTGGTTTGAGGTGACACCTGAAGTCAAGCATGGACATTAAATGCTGTCTCCGACCAGATATTTGCTCCATGGAAATGCCCTGGCCAGGACAGAGCAGTCCCCGCTCCAGCAGCAGTGCACGGCTCTTGTTGCAGCTGCGGTTTTTCACTAAGGTAAAACTTCCCTGGGAAGCAATCCCCACCTCCCCTGAGGTCCTGGTTTGCTACTTTTCCCCAGCTTCTCCACCACATCTTTTACTTAAAGAGTAAGAACCGGGCAAAGATACAAGGAGAGTTTCCAGCACAGAGATGTCCTGAAGTGGAGCTGATAGTCCTCAGGCAGGTTTCTGCTCCCTGAATTTTTCTTTTAGGTCTCTGAATCCCTGCAAACATTTAGTGACCTCAACACCCTGCAGCGAGCAGTTCCCCATCACAAATGGGGCAAGCGCTCCCCCCTCTCCCTTCGCCAAAAGACGAAGGGGACCTGCAAAGAGCCGGCAGTGACAGCGTGCATCATTGCTCTCTCTCTCTCTCTTCTCTCCTGAGCAGATGGGTACAGCGGCGCCAGGATGTCCACAGGATGCACAAGTGCAGCGCCTTGAAGTACAGGGTGAGGCCAAAGGCAGTGATAAGCAGGATGCACTCAGTGTGGTGCAGTGCAGGGCACACCCAGTGCAGTGCAGGATGCACATCGTGTGGTGCAGTGCAGGATACGTGCACGGAGGTCAGGATGCGCACAGTGGGGTGCAGTGCAGGACGCACATAGCAGGGTACAGCACGCGCAGAGCGGAGTGCAGCGCACAGGATGGACGAAGCGGAGTGCAGTGCAGGACGCAGGCAGCGGGGTGAAGTGCAGGATGTACGCGGCAGGGTGCAGGACGCAGGCAGCGGGGTGCATCGCCGGTTCCAACCCCCAGCCGGGGGCGGGGCGGGGCGGTGCGGAACCGCAGCGCCTTGTGCTCAGCCGCGGCTCCTTTAAGACCGCCGGGGAGGGCGAGCGCGGGACGGCGCGCGGCGGGGGCGGGGCGCGCGCA